CATGCACAGCGGCCCTGTGTGAACGAGGGGCCTCCATTTGTTTCTTGAGGAGTGCTTCAGAGGCGATCCAGAGTGACAGTCACAGCGCTGTGTATCGGTGTGAAGGAGGGGAGGGGGGCATGTTTGAGAGTAGAGAGGGTGTTTGGTGCAGATAAAAAAAGAAACTATTCTGTAACCAATTTACTGTTTTCCTGGTCGGAGTTGTGGAAACAGAACCTCTTTCAAAAGCTCCGATATCCTTGAAAGGTTGCATGAGGACACTGTTTTTACAATCCTGAGAGAAATATATATCTGTTTTATGAATCTGTAGTGTTTCAACGAGGCTGTGTCTGGTTTGTTTTGGAGTAGTGAGATGCAAAGTCACACTCTAAGTCTATTAATAGTCTCACAGCTTCCGTCTGAGCTTGTGCGTAATGGTTTTCTGCGGCTCCACTTAACCTACCTGACCACTTTACACTGCGGCCCGATGATATCGCTCTCCAGATCCAGCAGATGTTGGTGGTTGCGGAGCCCCGTCAGCCTCTTCAGCCTCAGCAGGGCCACGCAGAACTGAGCGCCCATCTCCTCCAGCTCTCTGGTGCCGATCTGCAGACCCTGGGTGAGACACGATCATGGACATCAGAGAGAGCGCCTTCACACTCAGCAAAAAAACAAAACTATCACAACCGCATCAGATTTTGAGTTCAGTATGATTAAAACACAGAATAATCTCAAAGGTCAAACAGAAGTTTACTCTAAAAGAGCGGCTGTATTTCTGAAGCTGCTCTGGAGTCGTTGTCCATCTTCAAACGCTTAAATTCTCAATGCTGGAAAGTCCTGACTCAGAAAACTTTTCATGCAGGAAAATTATATGTATTTCATTTGCGTGAGGAGCTTATTCAACCACATGTGCACACACACCTGCACCCCGAACAGAGTCCTCACAGAGCGGTGCAATCATACAAGTAAATGAATACTCGCTCAGGGACACACACACACACACACACACACACACACACACACACACACACACACACACACACACACACACACACACACACACACACACACACACACACACACACACACACACACACACACACACACACACACACACACACACACACACACACACACACACACACACACACACACACACACACACACACACACGCACAGAGACACACAGCTTACCCCAAATTCAACCCAAAACTTTCATGTTCCCCTTTCCCCAGAGCAGAGCTAGGAACATCTAAACTTGGCCTGGCCACAGAGATATGCAGCCCAAATTCAAAAGACATTAGTTCCTGCACATCTGGACAAATACTTCCACACACACCATTGGGGGGGGGCGCTAATCAGTGCCAAAATGGCACCCCGAGACTGCCTGTGGAAATGTGAGATGTTGACATTGGCAGAATTGAGCAGGAAAGAAATCAGCTGGGATTGAGAGTGAAGGAGTGAAGGAGAGGAGAGAGGAGAGGGAGGAAGAGGAAGGAGGAGAAAAGACAGCAGAGCAGCGAAAGGGAAACTTGAAGAAAGGACTGCAGCGCCATCTGGTGGACGTTTAGAGATTTAAAGGGGTGAATCTTGAGTTTTGTAGTAGATCAGAACTCAGATTCAACACTTTGTTTCAGGTATTATTTAGTCAGTCAAGAGACAGGAGGAACATCTTCATCTGTCTTTGATAAATCCCTCTGTCAGTTCTCAGTCAAACATTAGAGAGTCCTCTTATGGTATGAATATGTGTTTTGAATCCCTCACTGTCATTGACTGTGTACAAAAAAAATAAACTAGAACAGTAACCAACTCTATATTTATAAGCCCTTTACAGGTTTCTACCACACACACACACGCTTTGATATTTTCTCTCTACGCCTTGTTTTATATTTCCTGTGTGTGGAATGAATGTATGAATAAATAAGAGACATCTCCCCCCCAAATAAAAGAACAACATGCACTAGCCAAACAGTGAATAGTCTGCACAAACTAAAATGCATTTATAACAAAGTCATCAGTATGAGAGTTTACCAAAAACAACAGTGTACAAAGTGATTCTTTGTTTGACTGCAGGGTTATGAACTTAATGACACTCGGCAGGTCTTTTTTTGGGGGGGGGGGGGGGGGCATCATAAAGTACATAAAATGCTTACCTTGTATTTGCCCTGGTCACAGCCACACAGCGTGCTCTCCATGGTGTAGCTGCGCTGCACTCCTATCTCTCTCCATACAACAACGCGGGCGGTCGACTCTTTGGAGCGCTCCACGACAAAACTGCAGCTGGCCATGCTGAAGGCCGGGGCGATCTGGGACAGGATCTTAGGTAGAGCCTGAAAAACACATGACAAATTGTTTGATGTGTTTCAGTGCGTTTGTGTAGGTGTGTGTGTGCATTAGCGCACTGTGATCAACAAAGACAGGCTCAGACTGAGCAGTTATTGACTCCAAAATGTTTGCTGTGGGCTTGTAGCCTGAAGCTACACCCCACCAAACAAACGACTGTATTGAACCTGCTTCTTTATTAGCATTCTGCTCGGGGAAGTTTTTTTTTTTTTTTTTGCATTCCCAAATGCAGAAAGAAACAACAAACGTATCCTGACCCGAGCAGAAACAGAAAAAAGCTCTTCAACACTGCAGGGTAATTACTAATATCTGAGTATGTCACCTAACATAACCTGTGTTGAAACTCATGTTAATGATTTGATCATGATAAAGGACAAGGCATGTTTACATCTTTGGATAAATGAAAACAAAGGAAGGACACAGATGGGATCACAAACAGGAAGCGTGTCACTACAGAGGTCATCTTACGGTGTGTTAGGATTCTTACAGGTTACTTATAGGCTACTTTAGAGCCCCGATTCCATCAAGCAGTCTGGTTTGGTGCAGTACAGTTTGGTGCAGTTCAGTACAGTAAACCCTGATCTTGCCTGCGTTTCCACAGCTAACCGTACCCTTATTTGGTAAGCGGAGTGTAAGCCAGGTAGAGATAGCCGCGTCAGCTATGTAACAGTGTGACATTGTAGCAGCCCAACACAGTGTAGCCCACTATTAATTAAGTTCAACGGGTCAGATCAGTACCCTTGGCACCCCAACAGAAGGGTACAAAAAAAGTAGGGCGGTATATGGATGCCTTATTTTGGTACCATTCCCAACGTTTGACAATGGAAACGCAAATCAATGGGTCCTGAACCTGGGCTATACTGTGATAAGTCTACATTATTGAATAACAAAGAGTTGTGTGACACATATAATCACCAATAACATCCTTTCTTTAACTGTGTTAATCCATACACCTTAAGTTAAAGCCATGATTTTTCATATATCCTAGGATAAACATTACATTATGAGGTCATGAAGTGCTCATGTAAGAGTGTGAAATACGATAAGAAAGAACAGCTCTGTAGGTTGAGAAAGAAACTCAGGACGGTGTACTGGAGCGCCTGTGACATATGAGAGAGAGGAAGCTACAAGGAGGAGAGAGAGAGTGGACGTGCATCAGTCAGAACCGCTGTACCCCCTGAAATGTGTAAATCTGCACTATCTTAGAGGCCAGCATCCCACAAGAGGCACATGACAACATACACAGAAGTTACACTGACGACCCTTTAAACAGGAAATAAAACAGGAGAAGTGTGGCACGGTGTGGTCTCTTTGATGCTTTGTTTGAAATCATTTAGTAGCTGAATCTGGGTTTTGCTCGGGCTTGTTCATTGTTTGCTTTAGTAGACGTGAATAAACCTTTTTACATCAGGCCCTGATCATCTTGTGTGGACTTTGAAGCGTTTTTCTGACTTAAGTTACGTTGCTCCTGAGACAGTTTATCAATCAGGCCCAGATTTAAACTTCTTTCCCTGACACCTCGCTGTCTATTTTCATTTTAATGTCCTTTAAAAAGGTGCTTAAATCTGTTCTTATGTGAGGAGGTTTCAAAGGATCCAAGTCAAAGAATGAATGTGCAGATGTGGTGTATGCAATCTGAGAATATCATAGTTTCAGGATCTTCAACATAGCACAGGCATAACATGTTATGGACTGAGGAAGTACGTGTTCATGTATGTTTCTGTGCATGAAAATGTGTGTCTATGTGTGTGTGTGTGTGTGTGTGTGTGTGGTCGTGTTTGTGGATCTACCCTGTATCCAAGGTCTTCTTGCAGGTCGCTGGACGTGGCGCTGATGTTGGACTGCCAGACCGTCTCCTTCACGCTGCAGCCGTACATGAACACGTTCTTCTTTCTGGAATGACCGTGGTAATCGCAAAACACCTTTGTGTAGACGAGCGCGCACACACGCAAAGACACACACACAAAGACACACACACAAAGACAGGAAATAGAAGGAGTAAAGGAAGTTAATGATGCATATTAAAAAGCATTTTTCAAAAAAGACACAAACAAAAGTACAGATAAACAATGCAAAGACTGCTCAAATGAATAAACTGTATAATCAGGAAATCTGTAAATAAATGTCTCCTGCAGGACGCCCCGCAGGGATTCTAAAAAAGACGTGTTTTGGTGCATTTTCAGAAGGAAGGACAGAGTTTTCACCTTGCTTTGTGTCGTTAATCATCACCCCTCATGCAGTACACAAATCCTCCATGAGCAATTTCTCATCATATATAACGCGCTGACACACAGCGTAGTAAAGAGGATGTTGTTTATGGACACTGCATTAATGTCTGAAAACTAACGCAGTGATTTTTTTGTGTTAATTTTGTGGACATGCAGCCGAACAGGAGAAAATGACCCCACCCTTATCGTGACAAGATTCATTATTCTGCCCTAATGAAAGTTGATGCAGCAATTAAAAAGAGAAGAAGAAGAAGATGAAGGAGTGAGTCCAGTTTGTTAGAGGTCATACCAGCGGTGCCCTTTGTATGTGTGCAAGGTACTGCAGCAGGCTCTTAGTGTGGTAGATGGTGGGGTGGAGCTCAGGATTGGGGCTCTGCCACTGGCGATTCAAATCTTCTCCGCTCAGAGAACAACGATGACTACAGCAGAAAGAAGACGGCAGAAAAATGGAGAGAGAGAGAGAGAGAGAAGCAGAGCTAGAGAATCCTTCAGGACAAGATTGTGTGTGTGTGTGTGTGTGTGTGTGTGTGTGTGTGTGTGTGTGTGACATAAAGCTGTGACCGACAGGCAGGCAGATGTATGCATCTTCAGTGTGTATGCCTGAAAGCTGTGAGTGCATTGGCCTTTCCATCTCAGGACTCTCGTTACTCACTTTCCATTTATAACTCCATCAGGGTTCAGCATGGGGACGATCTTGAAGATGTAGGCATCTCTCAGGCTGGCTGCCAGCGGGCTGGTGCCCATCAGGAACTCCAGCGTGCCCTTCATTACCCAGCTAGCGTTGGTCTCTCCGGGGTGCACTCTGGCTGACAGGAAGATCAATGGGCGATTCCCTGAAGAGGGCGAAAAGGGGAGAGCGGGGCACAAACACAAACGGAGCGAGATGGAATGAGAAAACAGAAGAAAAAAAAAAGATTCTTTAATTTAAAGTTTTGCAGAGAAGCAGCGATATTAAACTACAGGAGACAGAAAAACTAACTGTGTATCACTTGAAGGTCTTCGTAAACCCAGGGCGACTGTGATGGGGTGATATGAGTCAGTCAGTGGGAAGGGAACATTAAGGTCAGTAATCGGGGTGGGATCGAAGGGTAACTCACAATATGCTACAATATTTTGTGTTACCGCCACATTTTCAAAAGAGGACATATCATACCCCTGTCCCACCTCTTCAAACAGCCCCCTGTGGTCTCAATGAAACATCTGTGCTGTGCTTTGGACAAAATATAACATGAATCAAGCACCAGAGGAGGTTTGTGACCCTGTATGAACCAGCTCTCTCAGAACGCTCCGTTTTGGTGTGTGTGTCTCTTTAAATGCAATGAGCCCCCCCTGAGCTTTCCTGGTAGACATCACTCCTCTGTAGAGAGAATAAAAATGGCAGACCAGCGCAAAAGTTTTGTTCTAGTCTGGGGGTGGAGTCTATGGGTGGAGATACCAGGGGAGGAGAGGGGATTTTATTCTACCAGAATCCCACTGTGACATCACAAGGAAAGCACATTTGAAACAGAGCATTTTCCTCTGTGTTGTAAGACTTATGCAGACCACAAACAAAGGACTGGATGGGTTTATTTCACATGTTGTGGGTCTGTAGACACTCAGGTTACCCAAATATATGTTCAGAAACACTGTGGAAGTGGATTTTTCATAATATGTCCCCTTTAAGATGAATCCTCCATCATGAAACAGATTTGATATTCCACACAGACCCACGTGGATGAACTCACTGAATTGACAGATGTGATCATTGGAGTTGGACTCTGGCATGGCAGTGATGGTGAGGAGGGGGCATTTGTTTCCCCCTAGAGTTTCACACAGGACGTCCTGTCTCAGGTAGATCTGGGGGGTCCTCAGAGCCTCCAGTTTGGACAGGTGCATCTGAGGACACGATGGAAAACAGCAAACTAAGAATTCGACATTTCACTTCAACTCCATGAAAATCTACAACTTGAATGTACGGCTTCCTCTCGACTTGTTTATAACATCTCTGTTGTTTTGTTTTCATGCTGGAGCTAAAGGGCGCCATCTACTGGATCAACAAGGTCACACACTCTTTAATATTTACACTCTATTTAATGGTTACTGGTATTGTAAATGTTACTGGTATTTTAACGGTTACTGGTATTGTAATTGTAATGGTTACTGGTATTGTAATGGTGTTATGGTAACTGGTATTGTAATGGTGTGATGGTAACTGGTATTGTATTGTAATGGTTACTGGTATTGTAATTGTATTGTAATGGTTACTGGTATTGTAATGGTGTAATGGTTACTGGTATTGTAATGGTGTTATGGTAACTGTTATTGTAATTGTATTGTAATGGTTACTGGTATTGTAATGGTGTTATGGTAACTGGTATTGTAATTGTATTGTAATGGTTACTGGTATTGTAATTGTATTGTAATGGTTACTGGTATTGTAATGGTGTAATGGTTACTGGTATTGTAATTGTATTGTAATGGTTACTGGTATTTTAATGGTGTAATGGTTACTGGTATTGTAATTGTATTGTAATGGTTACTGGTATTGTAATGGTGTAATGGTTACTGGTATTGTAATGGTGTAATGGTTACTGGTATTGTAATGGTGTTATGGTAACTGGTATTGTAATGGTTACTGGTATTGTAATGGTGTGATGGTTACTGGTATTGTAATTGTATTGTAATGGTTACTGGTATTGTAATGGTGTTATGTTAACTGGTATTATAATTGTATTGTAATGGTTACTGGTATTGTGATGGTGTGATGGTAACTGGTATTGTGATGGTGTGATGGTAACTGGTATTGTGATGTGTGATGGTAACTGGTATTGTGATGGTGTGATGGTAACTGGTATTGTAATGGTGTTATGGTAACTGGTATTGTAATTGTATTGTAATGGTTACTGGTATTGTAATGGTGTTATGGTAACTGGTATTGTAATTGTATTGTAATGGTTACTGGTATTGTAATGGTGTTATGGTAACTGGTATTGTAATGGTGTAATGGTAACTGGTATTGTAATTGTATTGTAATGGTTACTGGTATTGTAATGGTGTTATGGTAACTGGTATTGTAGTGGTTACTGGTATTGTGATGGTGTGATGGTTACTGGTATTGTAATTGTATTGTAATGGTTACTGGTATTGTAATGGTGTAATGGTAACTGGTATTATAGTGGTTACTGGTATTGTAATGGTGTAATGGTAACTGGTATTGTAGTGGTTATTGGTATTGTAATGGTGTTATGGTAACTGGTATTGTAATGGTGTTATGGTAACTGGTATTATAATTGTATTGTAATGGTTACTGGTATTGTAATGGTGTTATGGTAACTGGTATTGTAATTGTATTGTAATGGTTACTGGTATTGTAATGGTGTTATGGTAACTGGTATTGTAATGGTGTAATGGTAACTGGTATTGTAATTGTATTGTAATGGTTACTGGTATTGTAATGGTGTTATGGTAACTGGTATTGTAGTGGTTACTGGTATTGTGATGGTGTGATGGTTACTGGTATTGTAATTGTATTGTAATGGTTACTGGTATTGTAATGGTGTAATGGTAACTGGTATTGTAGTGGTTATTGGTATTGTAATGGTGTTATGGTAACTGGTATTGTAATGGTGTTATGGTAACTGGTATTATAATTGTATTGTAATGGTTACTGGTATTGTAATGGTGTTATGGTAACTGGTATTGTAATTGTATTGTAATGGTTACTGGTATTGTAATGGTGTTATGGTAACTGGTATTGTAATGGTGTTATGGTAACTGGTATTGTAATTGTATTGTAATGGTAACTGGTATTGTAATGGTGTGATGGTAACTGGTATTGTAATGGTACCTTAAGAGTGGAGTATGTGTACGGGTAATGATAGGCAAAGTAGCAGACGTCGTCCTTGTGGCTGAAGCTCGTTGTGAAGGTCATCGTGTAATAGGATTTTCCTTTCTGACCGCCGGCTGCAATGGAGCTCCTCGCAAAGTGATTCCTATGAAGAAGTTCAAACATTTCATGAGTTAACATTTCACAATAACGTTACCACAAGTCAGTCTTTATGAGGTACACTTATACGGTATCTTTATAACAACACATCGCTCGTCTCGTTTACAGTTTCTGGTAACTTTGCAGTGGATGTGTACATTCTATTATACGTTTCAGACTGAGCTCATGGTTCAAGTCGGAGTTATAGCAGACTGAATTTGTTTGAGCAGTAATATTCTGCAGCCCTTTGTGTTAGGTGGGGGTTATTTCTGTAGTAGATGGACAATTATGAAAACGTGAAACAGACTGTGGATCATCTTAGATTTATTAATAAGGGTATTATAGCCATGGTCAGACAACACAGAAACACAACACACATGGCTGACAAAGTGCAGACCATCGCTGACCCATGCTGACCAAGATCTCACAATCATTGAGAATCATTGCCAAAGCGGCCATCATGGGCAAAATGGCAAAATCTTCATCACACAGTGTGGCTTATATTCTGCTAGAAGGTACAGCCCACAAATTCCTTTCTATTTGGGTACATCACTATAAAACAATAAAGATGACATGACACCGATTTGTATACATAACAGATGTAGACTCTTTGTCTAGCAAACAGTTGTTGACAACATATAGTTGGCTCCTATCCAAACACAGATCTGCTACAATTTACATGTTTCACCATATAAGGTTACAGCTTCACAGACCCAAAAGAAGAATTACTGTGAGATGGTTGACACAATTTAAAGATATGTCCACAAAATTATCAAGATGAATGAATCCATGAAAAAACACTTAGTGTCTCTGAACAGGTAGGACACACACCTTTATGTTAGCTTCAACAGATCAGACTCAACAGAAGAATTAATGAATGTAAAAAAAAGGAAAAGTGGAGACTGATAACTAAAGACATTTCACAAAGGCGGTGACCTGATGATGAAGATCAACTTTATGGGAAAGCGCTTGTGCACTCAGTGGAATAGCGCTGCATGTCCGTCCTGTCTCTATGACAACAGTGTGTTGACAACGGCTGCTGTCTGACCCGACACTGCTCCGTTACTTTTTACTGAATGTCTTATAGTTGAGATAGTTTTTACCCCAGCTGACACGGAGCAAAGAGCATGTGGGAACAAGACACGATCTGTAGGAGGCAAAAGTACGGGGACTATCATACATTTGGAAAAGAGCGATGGTGACGTCAACAGAGGCTTTCTAAAAAGTTGAAAGATTTTCACTTCAAGCGCTCGGAGCCGCCACACAAAGTGTGCTCTGAACGCTGTGTGCTGTACTTTTTCTCAGGGTAGCCACGTGCAGCTACAAACGCTCTACTCATTGAAAACAACTGGAAAAAAAGACGCCGGCACTCAGAAAATATGCTAAGTGGACAAAGGGCCTAAGGATTCACGTGTGTTTGCACAAAAGATGGCTTTGTGTCAGTGGGCGATTTGGTTCAATGACACCTACCTATTTGTTGTGTTTGTCATTAAAATATCTATAAAATCAAGAAATATATCAAACAATCATATTGCAATGTAAACAGGTACCTATGAAGGATTATACCGCATTACATTTTTTTTTTTTTTTATATTTGTGCAGGCAGTGTTTGTGTCTTCTGAAGAGGATACCTTTCCAAAATGTTGCAGTTCATTAAAACCAGCTCATAATAACTTTGTCAGCGCAGTGCGCTATAAAGCAGTCAAGATGTGGATTTACAGCGATAGTAAATACATACAGGAGACATTGGATTCATTACACTGCACTGCAGCAGGTGACAAAAACAGCATGTTATTTATCTGTTCTCTTCAAAGCACACTGGTAACTGAGTAACACAGATTTATTCCACTGTGTGTCTGTTACATATATATAGATGGAATAAAAGCCTAATGAAGCTTTTATTCATTTGCTCTCTTTATATATACTGTATCAGTCTCTGGGTGTTTTGCATACTGAGTGTACCCACTTGTAGTAACAGATGTCTGTTCCTGTTCTGACCCAGCGAGGCCTTCCACTGATCGCCTCCTGCACAGAGTACATCAGTACCTGCATGCCTACACACACACACACACACACACACACACACACACACACACACACACACACACACACACACACACACACAACACACACACACACACACACACACACACACACACACCAACACACACACACACACACACACACACACACACACACACACACACACACACACAGAAAGCAGAAAGGAACACGAGTTATGAATATGCCATGCCTGATGTTCAAGTGAATAATTGTGCATAGTCAATGCTTTTTAGGCTTAGAGCTGCACGCCAAAAAAGCTCTTTAAATAGTTCAATTTAATAGAATATTACAAAAATATGAAAATCACACGGAGACTCTTTGCCTCTCACCGTAGTTGAACTGGCTGTTGGACTTCTCACAGTTGATGATGTTGAAGCGGTACATTGTTCCCACTCGCATACCGCTCACCTCAAAGTAGAACCACTGATGGTAGTGGTTACTGTTGATGTCTGAATTCAGCACCAGGTCGTACTCATTTCTGGAGAACACCATAATTAGATTAGAGCCAAACATCGTCAACCACAAATCACACTGGAGGGAAAACATTTCACTTTTATTCAGTTCAGATGAAGGTCCTGGTGTTGTGGTACTCGAAATAGGACCTGGACTCAAGACCACTTTTTGAAGGTCTCGTCTCGGATTTGAAAGCATTTTTACTCGACCTTGTCTCCGTCTCAATCAGAATTTTAAATCAAGAACGGCCAAGACAGACATTACTGTGTGATAAGAAGGAAAATGTGTCTTTCTAGAAGAACAAATAACTTCAATAACCTTCACCTTCCTGGTGTTACGGTCTAAGTGAGTGACACACTCTGCACACAAGATGATGATTTTTCTGTGATATTTATGGTCTCTGTCTTGTCTCTGTGTCACCCTACATTGGTCTTGGTCTTGGTCGTGATCTCTTAATGTCTTGGTCTTGTCTTAGTCTTGTCTTGGTCTCGTAGCGCTCCGGTCTCAGGTATGTCTTGGTCTCTGTTAGTGTGGTCTTGACTACAA